GTTACTTGGGATGTTAAAGGAAGTAGGAGTTGAAGTGCAGTTCCCAATACAAGTATACAGTGACAGTAAAGCAGCAATACAAATAGCTGCAAATCCAGTCTATCATGAGAGGACAAAGCATATAGAAATAGATTGTCACTTCATAAGGGAAAGGATACAACAAGGTTCAATCAAAGTGAATTATATACCAACACAAGAACAACCAGCAGATATTTTGACAAAGGGGCTGTCCAGAAGTCAACATGAGTATTTGTTATCCAAGCTAGGAGTGTTGAACATTTTTGCCCCTCCTAGCTTGAAGGGGAGTAATGAGACTTCATCAGAGTAGTTGGTTGTTAAGTAGTTAAAAGGTGGTTAGAATGATTAAGGGTAGTATAGTCTTTTCTATTAAAAGTTGTTATAACTAATTCTTCCAATAGTTAGTTACATAAACAACTATAAATACATGTTCATGCTATTGTACAAGTTAGCCTTTGAGCTCATAAATGGAATTCTTCTCTCTTCTCTTCTAGTAGCTTCTGTAAATCGTGTTTGTGTTCACCTACATCATATTTAGATCTTGATTATGGGACTAAGAGTTATCTCGATATAATAAAATTTGAAATTAAATTTATTCAGTATTTGATAATGGATATTAGTTAAAATTAGGATAAAATTTACATCAAAGTCATGAGATCATTGATCTATCTTAGTCATAAAGGGAAGAGATCACATTACACGAAAATAAGAAGTAAGCTCGCATTTCTTTTTAATCATTCTAATAGACTAGAGGTACAAAGAAAACACACAAAACACACTCACATTTCTTATCAAACAAAAAAAAATTTATAATAAAAGCGCTCCTAATCCAACCCATCCTTCGAAAAACCCGTCAACGTGGAGTCAAACATCTCTTAAATTTTGACTTATAACTTGATTTTCGACAATACCCACAGCCTTGCAATTTTCTGCAATCAAAATTAATTCCACATTGATCAAAACATTTGTGAGCATAGCTCAATTTTGGTAGTACAATCTGCTTAATCACTTGTACTTCTAATGATAGGTCTCGTAAAGCCATCACTTTAATGTTCCATGACCAAAATGAATTAACTGCATCATAATAACAACAAATATTAGTAGAGATACAAAATTAAGTTCAATCGTAATAACTTTTTCGTTACAAAAAATAGTTCATCGAGACTTTTTTTGTCACATAATAAAAAAGAACTAATAAGTTTAATTATATATACTTAAGTGACAATCTATAAGAAAATCAACCAAACTTACTAGAATACAAAGAATTAGCGATAGACAAATTCCGTAGCTAAATTACAAAAATCTCATACTAATTTTATTTAGCTATGGATTAGGTCAATAAATTTTATAACTATTGATGTGTTTTTCTAGAAGTCATGATGAAGTTATTACTTACCAATGAGTGTCACAAGTAGAAAACAAAAAAAGAAAGAAAGCTTGTGAGATAGGAACTTGTTGTTGGCCATTTTAACACTATTTGGTTGTGAGGAAGAAGAGAACTAACTGTGTGAGTGAATTTTCTTGATTTATGAAATGTCACACACATATAATAGTATATATAGACCTTTGAAATTGTTTAAATATAGAACACATTATTTGATGTAACTGATAAAGTAGTTGTTGTCATGTGATCTGAAAATCGCGTTATTTGAATTGTAAAATCAGTCACTTATGAAAAATATAAAGTTAGACTCTTATGATCTCAACTCTTTTATGAATTTTGCACATAGCGAGAACTTAATACACCAAGCAGTCTTGTATATAGTATTATTTATTGGGGATAAGGGTTTGAAAAATATTCCAATTTTGGTCGAATTTGCTGTTGCGATACTAAACTTTCATGAGGACCTATTACCTCCCTAGACTATTTAATACTGTATTTTAAACATATATATTTGCCCACGTGGACATAAAAAATAATGCAAAATTATAAATAATAATGTGTCCACATGGGCACATATACCTTTAAAATACACTATTAAATAGTTCAGGGGGTAAAAAATACGGTATTAAATAATTTAGGGAGATAATATGTCCTCATGAAAGTTTAGTATTGCAACAGCAAATCTGACCAAAGTTGAGATATTTTTCAGATTCTTATCCCTATTTCCTATTTATTGCTAGTGTTCCATATATGTTGCTTTCTCTCTCTTGGCGGCTAATATGTAAAAGCATACAAGAATATGATGACTTACTTTATTAAAGAAATCACTAGTAATTGTTCAAGTGAAGGGCCACATCCCACAAAAGAAAAAAATTCATCGATATGTGACTACCTGTTTACTGAGAATATCATCGATAATATGTTATCGTTTATTCACTTGTGTGTTAGCTCATAAATATTATGATGAAATGACTGCTGGATGATTTTTTTTGTAAAATCTTTACGAAATCTTCCGTAGAGAGTTGGGGGAGCAATACATGAAGCTCATCATTTTTTGCACGTATTTTGGGCATTTAGAATCCAATTTTACAAAAATTAGGTAATTTTTTCATTTTTCGTGTATGTTAGGCAATGAATATTTTGGTGATATAGCTTCCAAATGATTTTTTTTGCAAAACCTTTACGAAACCCACCCTCTGTAGGAAATTGGGGGAGTACGTAGTACGTGAAGTCTCATCATGTTTTGCACATCTTTTGGGCATTTATGAGCCATTTTATAGAAATTAAGTGATTTTGTAAGTTTTTTGTGTGTGTTAGTCCATGAATATTTCGGTAATATGGCTTCCATACGATCTTTTGTAGAACCTTTATGGAACCCTCCGTAGGTAGTTGGGAGCCGGATGTGAAGCCTCACCATTTTTGCATGTATTTTGGACATTTATGAGCCACTCTATAGAAATTAGGTGATTTTCTAAGTTTTTCGTGTGTTAGTCCATAAATATTTTGGTAATATGACTTTCGAACAATTTTTTTGCAAAACAGAATTCTGAATTCTCAATGCTAATAACATGACCATCCGTAAATGACAACGTTTGTCTGAAAATTTTATAGTTGCTAGATGATTATGTTACATGATATTAGGTAGACGAAGGTTGAAAAAGTATATGGGAGAAGTGAATACCGAGAACAAGACATAACTTTAGATTATCGAGATCATGACCTTGAATAGAAAATTCTAAAGGACACAGATTAAGATATATAGAGAGTTAGTTAGATAGTTGAGAGTTGTCTCACTTAATCTTTTTATACTTGGAGTCATAGTATTACTCTATAATTAAACATCAATAGAAACAATATCACGATACATTAAATATCAAAATTTAGATTAGCAACGAGTAAATTCAATAACAAATCAACGACATTAGTACAATATATAACAAAATGTCATTATTGTTACAAGTAATATAAAGCTTAGAAGGAGCAGGTAAAACGTAAAAAAGACAAATTTTATAATTAAACACCAATACATTAGCAACGAGTTATTCAACAACATATCAACCACACTATAGTATGAAACTCAACTCGATCAAAAGAAAGTAAAAAGACATAATTAAGTACATAAAGATATATGATAGCAAGTTGTTGGTGCCTCTTCCATGAACTAGAGGAAGTTCGTTCGTAGTTAATTCCAGTATTTTTTTATATCGTCGTCGGATTATTATTTCCATCGGTTGCATGACCATGTGCGGGATTTTTTAGTCCTCATTCGACATTGTGTACAAAGTGAACGTTTAAAAATTTGGCAATATTCATGAGATGTACAAGATTTGCCACATGCAGATACAAAAGGCTTTATAATTTGCTCAATCACTTGTATTTCTTCTTCAAAATGTATGTTTCTCAAAGCCATCACTTGATGAGAGTTTGAGGACCAAAATGATGAACTAACTACAAAACATGATTAATCAAATTAATAGTAATATATAATTAGAGATACATACTTATATTTTACAAGGGGACTAAATAAAGAAATATGAAACTACTAGCTAATTATCAGCCAATGACAACATAGTCAATGTAATTTCATAAGTGAGATTTGAGAAGAATAAAATGTATGCAGACTTTATCCTATCTTTTTGAGGTAAAGAGGATGTTCTGATAGACCCTCAACTCAAAAAAAATAATGAAATCAAAGCAGGATTGAAAAGAAAATAATGATAACAGAATAACAATGAACAAAGTAAAAGAAGTAAGTATTACAAATTGAAGACTAAAGGTGTATTTGGTATGGAGGAAAATGTTCTCCATAAAAATATTATATCAAAGACAAAATTATGAAGATGAGGTGGGGGTAAGGTTATGTGTGTTGTAGTGGGGGTGGAGCCGGGGTATGGGGGAAGGTGGGGTCGGGGTCGAGTTTGGTGGTGGAGTGAGTGGCAGAAAAGAGATAATGCGACTTGTTTTCTCTGTTTTCATTAAAGAAGTTATTTTCCTAAAGAAAATATTTTCTAAAAAAATTGACAAATCAAACACGAGAAAAGAGAAAACCACTTTTCAATCCTCCCTATTAAACACATCTTAAATATAAATTAATTTGACCAGTTTATAAATATGGGCAAATACCCTCATAATATGTTTTACAAAGAGACTAAATAAGGGATGGTGAAGTTACTAATTACTTACCAACAAGTGAAACAAGGAGAATACAAAAGAAGAAAGAGAGCTTGTGAGATAAGTACATCTTAGCCATGCTAATTGTAATTAACAAAGTTAAAATTGTGTTGGGTTCATTTTCTTGTTTGATGGAAGATCAAATATATATAGAGGCCTATACAATTGTTTAAAAAATAAAAATATCTCACTCAAAAACTATATTATTACTATATATTATCTACTATTGCTAGTGTCCTATGTGCACACTCTCTCTCTCTCCTGGCTGCTAATACATAAAGCATCAAAGGATGGCTCACTTTTGTTAGTATTATTATTATATTAGGAATTAGATAAGAATGACCCTGATAAGATCAGTATAACAAAATAATTTTTAGTAGCAATAAATGTGTATATTTATAAAGAGTGTTAAAAAAATTTATCGGTATAAGTTAATTGTCATTGATCAACATTTCTATAGGTATTAGGGATATTTATAAAAAGTAATACTTCATTCGTTCACTTTTACTTGTCACTTATTCCTAAAATAGGTTTTCAATTTTACTTGTCACTTTTGACATATCAAGGAAAGACAATAAAAAAATTTCATAATAATTACCCTCAACATTTAATACTTATTTTTCAAATCATTTTCTAAGACATCATTTAATAGGTGATAGTTTGATAAAATATATATATCATTAATAATTTTCTTAATGGGTGTGCAAAGTCAAATTGTGATAAGTAAAAGTGAAGGAGGGAGTGATTGCCTCTAAAAATATATGTATAGCGACAATTAAACAATTATCGTTAATTAATGTCGTTAAAAATCATTTTTAGTGTAGTGAACGGACCTAATATTGTATATCTCGAAGTTCGCGCACATTTTTGTAAAAATATATATTTATAGGATTGAAAAATTAATATTGTATTAACAAAGAGTGTTAAAATCTTTACTAGCATTAATTGATTGTCATTACATTCAATATTGTCATAGACTTTAGGAACATTTACAAAGAGTGCTAATTACTTTTAAAAATATCTATTTAATGACAATTAACCTATTATCGTTAATTGTTAGTGTTAAAAACAAATTTGGTGTAATGAACGGACCTAATATTGTAAATCTCAAAGTTAGCGCATATTTTTTAAAACAAATTATGTTTGACGGACTGAAAATTTAATACTCTTTCTGTCCCTATTAGTTGTCCACCTTATTAAATTAAGAAAATATAAATCAAGAAAATATTAATTAATTTTTTCTATCTTACCCTTGCAATTAATTCATTTTGAAAGTATTCACATTTGTATGTAAAATTCTCAAAACAAATAATTTAAGGAGTAAATTGATAAAATTATCTTCTTATTTATAATTTCTTAAGCACGCAAAATGAAAAGTGATTTTCATTTTTCTAAAGAGAACTCATACAGATATATGGAAGAAGATTTATGTCCGTGCGTGGATGAATTGACTAGTTACATATAAATTAATTTTTAATTTTTAATTATTTGAAACGTGTACTTTTTTATTCCTTTGCTTGTGAATATTTACAAATCCATCACGATTATCAATTTTTCCATCACTTGATTACTCATGTAATATAGTTTTAAAAATAGTCAAAATACAATATATATTTTTCCTACATAAAGTGATTGAAAATATCGAAAATATCATTAGTTCAGTTAGTTAATTATACAAATAAAACAACAACATCAATAATGAATTAATGATAAAATATCAAAATATTATATTACCAACAAGTTATTCAACGATAGATTCATGAACACTAATACAAAAGTACGAGTACGAGACACAACTCAAAAAAAAAAAAAACTAAAAGACAGAAATATAAGGATAAGCATTTTTTGTTTTTGGTGCCTCTATAATAAGGACTAGCTAATCGAAGCTCGTTGCTAATTCCAGTATTTTTTGGAGAATCGAATTATTTCCACAGCCAACATCTTGTTACCTTGGATTGCTTACGATATTGCAATCGACATTGTGTACACACTGAACCTTCAAAACTTTGGCAAAATGAATGAGATTTGCAAAGTTTGCCTCAAGATTTTTCATTGTTAAGATGTGGAAGTAGAATTTGTCCAATCATTTTCTACTTCTTCTTGTAAAGGTAAGTTTCGTAAAGTCATCACTTCATTTGTGTTTGAGGACCAAAATGAATTAACTGCATAACATAATATAACAATATATATATATATATATATATATATATATATTAGAGATGTGTAAAAATATGACATTTGAACCTAAATCAACTTTCGGTAATTATTACCTTAGTAACTAAAGGGTGAATCTAGAGGGAGCCGAGTGTGTTCACCTGAATTTGGGATCACAGCATAGTCATTTGGGCTTGGCCCATGTTTTGTGGAGGTAGCCCAAATTTGGGATTACTTCCTTTATTTGAGTGACTTGCACTTTTCTCCCTATTTTGTGTTTGTCTTAATTTTTTACTCTAAAGTCAAAAATATTTTCATCGGACATAAATTTTATTTTTACATTATAATATTCTACAAATTATATACCTATCGCACTTAATGAATTTATGCTCCCCTAAACATAAGTTCGATTTTGAAGGGTAAAAATTTGAAAATGAACTACTTTGAAGAGTTGGTCGTGTAATTAAATGTGGAAATTTAGACGATTTCAGTAATTCTCATTTAAAAACCATGAGGAAGGTAAGGTAAAATGTAGGAAATAACATTCAATGACCTTTATAATAAGTAGTTTACTAGTCAACCTTTGATCTTGCTCGTCCCATGAGCCCTTCAGGGTCAAAAGTTAAAAGTTATCAAACTTAAAGTTCTGCCAATGAATAAATCAAGGTCAAAAGTTCAAGTCCGTCCCACCTTTAAAGTTATTCTTATAAGGAACCTTCTTATAAATCACATGATAAAATAGATGCAGATCAACCAAATACAAATAAAAGTGCTTTCCACTCTTCTTTGTCTTAACTAATTCAAATTTTTGCCTACCAGAAAAATTTTCAATTTACATTCAAATTCAAAACTTCTAATTATGGAAAATCTCATCTAACAATATTTATCCAAAACATTATTAATTCCTTTTTTTTACTCATTACCCTTTATTGCTTTAATCAATGAACTTTTCACTATTATATCCTGGCCCATAAAATGACAATAATTTTCTAGTGGTGAAAGTTGTTGGCCTTATCAACAAAGGTCATAAGAAACTTGCCAAACTAAAGCCAAATAAATTGTACCAAAAGTAAAAATATTTGAAACAAGACCATATACTTCTTGCCCTTCATAACTCTTTTGATTTATTGTACTTTTTGTCATTATGTTTGATCTTAGCTAGCTAGCTGGCTTATACACTCACTGGTCAAAATCATACCCTCAAAGCAAAACAGAATTGGGGGGGGGGGGGGTCCATAACAAATTTCAAGAAAGACAAAATCATCATTGTTGGAAGCTCTATCTTCCCCCACCCCTACACATTTAATCGACAGGTCAAAAACGAATTCAAAATTTAAATTTATGAGTTTAAGTTTAAAAGTTTCACTTGGTTTATTAGGTTAGGAATACATATTTATACTGTTTTATTGTATATTTAGCGCCTATATAATGTCTCAACTAATTAGTGAAGGGTTCAACATGTCATGTGACCAAGAGGTAACATCTTTAAATTATGGAAACAATCTCTTGCAAAATACAGGATAAAGTTACATATAATAGACTTTTATGTTACCACACTAGCTGAAACTTATGAGAGCATCAAAGTACTACCCTTTTTATTCAACGTCTCGATTAAAATTTATGTAGATCAACATATGTATATACAAAATACAATTTTTTGATATGGGAAATTCGCTTAAACTCCTTCGATAAACGTTGCTCCACATTAACAATCTCTCATATTAGTTAAGAGACGGAGTTATTGTCTTATTATGATATCGAAGTCAAATCTATTCTTAATATTAGACTCTCATTTATATTATTCACGCTCCAATTGTCCAGATTAAATGTGATAAATATGTTAAGGTATCTCACATTGATTCAAGGAATGTGTCTTTTTCTTCCCACACCACCTACCCACCTTCCTAAATAAAACACCATAGATCCTAAACCATCCAATGCCAAACATATAAAGTCTCCATCTTTTATGGTATATGCTTAGCTAGCACCAGTTGTTACATTTACTATCCACCCCATACCCCCCCCCAC